TTATCAGACCCACTCTCGTCAACTTTCCCACCATATAGTAAAAAACCCTCTCTGACCAAACCTGCTCAAAACAAATCTGCCTAACAATGTACTACGTAGACCCAGTCTATATAGCAATTATAAACTAACTTGGGCTATAAACTAACAGGGCTAGTGCTTTGGACCTGATTCCCACCAGCCTTTTTTTTTTTTTTTTTTTTGTCTTTTTCCTTTTTATTGGTACCGGGGATCGAACTCACGACTGCCTGCTTACAAGACAGGCGCTTACACCACTGAGCTAAATCTCCAGCTCCCCACCAGCCTTTTAATGTAATGAAAATTGCCTTCCAACTCCTTAGTGCAGAACATTTTCCATCTGGTTCAGTAATGCTTTTCTGCAACATTATTACCTTGCACAAAGGGATATTAAGAACAATGAACACATGAAAAAGTATCAGTTGCTTTACAAGCATTTTACAAGCACAAAAGGGAGATATTCTAGAGCACTGGCAATTCAGAACAAATATTCTTGAGCCACACTACCTGAGTTTGAACCCAAGTTCTGGCACTTACTAGCTGTCTGTAAACTAATTTCTCTGTCTCAGTTCTGTCATCTGTAAAATAGAAATGATAATAGTTCTTGCCTGAGGATTTTGTGGGCATTGAGTTCATATTTATATAAAAGTTTTAGAATTGTGTCTGGTACTTATTAATAATCTGTATTATTTTAGGACACTCAAACAGAGGTATCCTTATACTACTAAAGAAAAGGGGCAAGGAATAAGTCTGACACCAATTGGTAATTTCTGGAGTTGAGTTTCCTAGTTTGAAATTTGGTATGTAAGATGACTATTATAATCTGGAGTTTATTTATGTTGTAATATGCCAGAAATACTCTCAATAGTGCCGAGCATAAATAAGAATCTATAAACTGTGTGTGTCAATATAATAATTCAGAGTTCTTTATAACTTATGGTTTATATCTAATAAAAATGTTTTATCATATTCATATTTAAAGAGCCCTTACTGCTATAAGTAAAAAGATGACACAGAGAACAGTACACGTTTGTGAACATTCATCTTCACTCTCTGGGCAGAGAAATATTAGAACCAGTGGCAGAAATGGGAAAACCCAAACTTCAGTTTCTTATACGGTTTACACTCTTTTCCCTGTGATTCTGGGGATTGAAACTAGGGTCTTGCACATTCTAAATATGCTCTCTGAGCTACATCCCAAGTGCTGCTCACTCCTGAATTTTTAAAGGGAGCTATCTCTGTGAGATACTATTTGATTCCTCTTTCTTAAGGTTGGAAATAGAATGTCTTCATTTTGTATCTCTCATATTTTAAAAAGTATGCATCAGAGGAGAGTACTTAATATCCTTTTTTCAATTTCATGTTTAATTCCAGTATCAATCTTTAATGCTCCCTATTTGCCCAAGACAAAGTAAGCCTTATTTTGTGAGTAGAAATGGAATCCACATTTTTCTGCTCATAAAATAGCACTATACTTTGCAGTACAAGCAATGATAGTAGTTTTTCTATGTACCTGAATTAAAAATATTACTATATTTATTTTAGTATTGAAATGTATTCATAAACAGTTACAGTCTCTGGAATTTGTGATAAACAGTTAATGCACCACAGCTCTTTACACAAGCTCAATGCAAACCTACAAAGGCTTAAAACAAAAAGTTCAAGGTTTTCTCAAAGTACTACTAACATTTATCAAAGTACTACTGTATACATTTGGGTCTACAATAGTTGGGATCCTCAACAACAACATGGATTTCCACCCTACCAGAGATGATAACTTCAGTCTGAGAGTACAAACTGTACAGTGTATATAATATGTCATAAGGAAGTCTAAGAAGAAGGCCAGGAATTTGATTGAAAAGTTAACTTTGTGGTATCTCCACAGTGAAACAGGGTAAATGTCTGTTGTCTTAGATTAGGAACAAAAAAAGGGTTAAAAAACTTTTAAGAAGAAAACATTCCTTAAAAAATGTTCAGAAATTTATGACACAGCAAAGAACTATTTTACCCTCTTAAACACTTCACAGGAATGCATTATAAACCCACATAAGGGGAAAGTTTGAGGCCTCATACTTCCTTATTTCAAAGTTTAAAAAACTGAAGTAATTAGGATAGTATAATAACTGGTACATGGACAGACAGAATCTTAAAACATTTAGTCAATTGAGTTTTTATAAACAGGTGAAAACAATTCATACAAAAAAATCTTCTTTTTAATATTTAGTACTTGGATAACTGGATCTTTATATACAACAGAAGGAAGCTGGGCCCCTAATATCACACCATAACAAAAAATATCTTGAAATGGATCAAAGGCTTAAATGTAAAAGCTCAAACTACAAAACTCTTAGAAAAAACCCAGGGGTAAATGTTTGTAACCTTGGACTAGGCAATGATTTACATTTATATGATACTGAAAGTTCAATCAACCAAAAGAAAAAAATTGAATTTAATGAAAAACCTTTATGGTACAAAAAACACTATTCATAAGGTGAAAAGACAGCCAAGAGAATGGTAGAAAAATTTAAAAACCATATTATCTGATACACAGCACGTAGTATTTTATTATCACAATTACATAATAAAAGATAACACTTAAAAATGAGCAAAGAATCTCAAAAGATATTTTCCCATAATAATCACATTAACATCTGCTTATCATTAAGTATCAGTGATGTGCAAGTCAAAACAACAATAAGATACACTCTTACCCACTAAGTATTGATGCAGAGTGGAAAATTCGGAGCCGTTATCACTGATGGTAAGAATATAAAGTGGTTCAGTTGCTTTGGAAAACTGTGTGGTAATTCCACAAAATGTTAAAACTGGAGTTAACATATGATCCAGAATTCCATTCCCAGATATATATATATGCATGTATGTATGTGGGCATGTGTGTGATGTATGTATAAATGTGTGTATATATATATGAAAACACGTCTACACACAAATTTATACTTGAATGCTCTCTGCTGCATTGTTCATACTTAAGCCAAAATATGAAAATAGATGAAATTCTTATGAGCTGATGAATAGAAAAAGAAAATGTGTTATAGTGAACAACAGAATATTATTTAGTCATTAAAAATGAAGTATTCAGCTGGGCAGGATGGTCTCTGTATGCAATTCCAGTATTTTGGGTGGCTGAGGTAGGAGGATGACAGACTCAAGCCTAGTCTAAGCAAATTAGTAAGACCCTGTCTCAAAAATAAATATATAATAAAAGGGCTAGGGATATGGCTCAGTGTGAAGGCCCTGGGTTCAATACCCAGTTTAACACGAGGCTGCCAGCTTGAACCACAGTGGATTATTTCACTTAAAATTATGTTCTCAAAGTACAACCACTGGTGGTTCAAGCTATCTGGCAGTAACATGTATGTGTTAAAAAACTATAACATGTAAACGTGCTAAAAATCTACAACACGGATGAACCTTGAAAACATGCTAAGTGAAAGAAAATAACCAAAAAATAGAAAATACAGTCTAGTAAAGCATTTTTAGGAAATGTCTAGAATAGGCAAATCTGTGAGAAAGTAAGCAAATTAGTAAGTCACTTAAGGCTGTGAGAAGATGCAGAAGGGGTATAACTGCTAATGGGTATGGAGTCTTTTCCTAGAGTGATAAAAATGTTATAGAATGAATTATAGTAATGACTATACAACCCTTAAGCATATCAAGTTGTTCACTAAAATGGCATATTACTTATATTTCAATAATGTGGTTATTTTTTCCTCTCATTCTTTTTTTAAAAATCCCTCTTCTCTTCCCATTTGAACATCATCTTCTTTCTTCTCCATATCTATCCCCCACTTTGGTCCTTATTTACCCTTTGAGTTTCTCACAGCAGAGAAACAATGTGATACTTAAACATGAGTGTCCAATTTATTTCACTTAAAATTATGTTCTCAAGGTGCATCCAATTACATAAAAATGTCCCACGTTATCCTTCTTTATGATAAGTAGTACTTTGTTATATGTAAAAAACAGATTTTCTTTATCCATTCATCCACTGATGGACATATTATTTCCAAGACTTATCTATTGTACATTGTATTGCCATAAACATTGGTGTGCATATATCACTGTTATATGATTAAAGCTGTTATTTTTTAAGGCTATATTAAGTATTATACTTGGATCTAAAATGATCCTCAAAGGCTATGTTCTGGGGGCTTAGTTGCCATCTGATGGGCTTTTGGAAGGTGATTGGATCAGGAGGGTTCTAACTTCATCAGTGGATTAATGTACTGATAGATTCACAATTTGATGGCATTGTCAGGAGGTGGGCCTAGCTGAAGTGAGTGAGTCATCGGGGCATGACTTTGGAAACTGTCATGGTTTATGTTTGCGTCCTCCAGGCCTCATGAGTTTGAATTGTGCATGTTATTCGTTCATTGTCTAGTGCTTGGATTGATGGTGTCAGTGCTCCACCCACAAAGGGGTGTAGCCAGGATGTGATGTAATGGCGGGAAGAAGGTATGTCTCTCTCTTTGCTGGTTCGAGCTTGCTGTCGGCAGCTGCCATGAACTGGGGTCCAGCCATGCCCGCCTGTCTTGGAGCCAACTGAGTGTGGACTGAAACCTCCAAAAACTGTAAGAAATAAACCTTTCCTTTTCCAACTTGGGTTTCAGGTATTTTGTCTCAGCGACAAGTAAAAAGTAACCAAGACAGAAACTGTATCCTGTTCTGGCCCCTTCTTCTCTGACACTAATTCTTTCTGGCTGTACTTCTAAATGCCTTGAGATAAGCAGCCTTCTCCACCACCTGCTCAATCCCTAATGTGGAAATTTAACTGGCCTTTTAATTTAGAGTCATATTTTTAAGTGATGAATAACTGTACTAATTAAAATTAATTTGAAAATCAACATATATTTTAGGCACGTATATTCTACCGACCACTAAGAGATGAATCACCAATCACAATTTTACCTCCTAAGAATGAAAGTATTTATTCAAAATTATAACAACATCCATTAGACATTTACCTTTTCAATACTGGTTGTTCCAGTAGTTTTTTCTTTAGCATCTAGCGCTTCTGGTTTTTGAATTTCTACTTTCATTCCATTTACAAGGCCTGAAGGCTGCCATAAATCATCCCATTTATCTTTGGGTGGAGAAAAACAATCCTATAAAGAAAAAACTGCAAAATAAACTGACAGTGACATATGATCCAAAAGGACAATGTGGCAAAGTAAAGATAAGGAAATAATGGGTATTAAAATGAAAAGGTATTATTGACTTTCTACATCAGGGTCATTTTCCTCCTTGCTTTAATGGTTTGCATCCAGTACCTTGAATTCCTTTGAACATTTGAATCTCATAAATACAATTGTGTTTGGAGAATATAATGGCATTTTCATCTCTAGATGATTTTTCATAATCTAGTAGTAAAAAGGCATACATCAGCTGGAACAATTTAACTACAGGTATTTCTTCTTATAACCAGTGGAAAACAAATTTCAGCTATATAGCTAGGCACAATATTATAGCCAACACTCTGGAGAACCCCAAGGCCATATTATAAGGCTTATGTAACAAAAATAAAATTAGAGAAAAGAGTTTATTTATGGATTTTAAAGCTCTGACTAGGAGCCAATGATACAACAAAAGTCCTAATGCCTGAAAGAGCAGATATGTGCAACACACTTGTTGTTTACTCTCCTCGGCTGCATCCTGCACCCTCTGCTACCCACCACTGACACTCACACACACACGTAAGTACGAATCATATAATCTTTTGAATTATGGTCTAAGAAATCCTTTTAAATTCCCAAATATATGCCTTTTTTAAGGTTCAGATAACTAAATTTCATTCTCAGTAGTGATTTGTTTTGTGTTACCCTGAGTATCTAACCTTTTGTGATTTTTCTTCACATGATGAATACTGTTTCTTTCCACCAAAGCCTGAGGTAAACAGCTGGGAGACAACATCACCTTCCTTTTCCATTTTCAGCCAGTTCTCATCCCAAATATCATCACCTATAGTCACTGACTCCAGGCATGGCATGCCAGTGGGAATCTCATCCTAGAACGTATTGGAGAACAAATAAAAACAATCACTTATACTTTATATCTGAGAACATTTTAAAATTTGGGTTCACACGTTTTTCCTGATTTCCAAATAAAGATAGCAGTTTGAATACACAGATTTATTACTCTTTCCCACATAAAGTGCTATCAAAATAAAAATAAAGAGACTTAAAGTATAAACTTCATGGTCAGAGAGAAAAGAAAAAAAAAACCTACATCCTTTGTATAGGATAGCAAGACATTTGATTAAGGATAGCAGATAGCTGATTAAGGAGTCCTGAATTAGTAGTGGTAAAAACTGAAAAACAAATCACATTTATTCTAGAGATATAATAAAAGCTTAAGAATTTTACTACAAGGCTTTTAGAAGTCAGGCAGTAAAAGATAAAAGAATACCCGTTGAAAGTCAATGTAAGAAGCAGTTAGAGCTTGAGATACCTTCCTATTCAAAGGGCTCTGGCAACTATACCTCTTATACCTGCTAGAAGACAAATAGGTCTTCTGGGGAGTCCAGAGAGATTGTTGGAGTAAAACTGACAGTAAAAAAAGCATAATGAAACAGGAATTAAGTGAAGGCTTTTATACTGAATATTGAGATTCTGGCCCTTTATTATTGTAGGATAGAGACAAGTGGAAAGAGCACAGACAGAGCTATAAAGATTAAGTCTGAACAGAAGAAAAAAAACTAGAAATAAACCTCTAAAGGACTGTCATAGACTTGTATAGCAATATAAACATATTTAAGAACATTTGTATAATAAACATTCCAGAAGAAAAAGAGTGCAATGTATAAAAATAATTATGAGTAGAGCTAAATCAAAAGACACAGATGAAAATAGATACAGAAAGACCTTAACTCAAACTGATCAAAGCCATTTATGACAAACCTTCTGGCAGCATCATATTAAACAGAGGAAAACAAAGCATTTTCCAAAATCATGAATGACCCAGGCACCCACTTTCACCACTCCTCTTCAGTTAGAGTACTTTAGACACAGCAATCAGGAAGAGCAAGAAAGAAAAGGGATACGAACAGGAAAGGAAGAAGTTAAGCAATCCTTATTTGCAGATGACATGATCTTTTACATATAAGACCTTCCCACCTTGAATTCCTCCAGATGACTCTGCAGCAAGCTAGCAAGGACACAAAATCAATTCACAAAAATCAGTACCATACTTGTATACCAACAATGAACCTAGTGAAAAATAAATGAGAAACAATCACATACACAATAGCTTTAAAAAAATTAAATACCTAGGAGTTAACCAAGGAAGTCAAAGACCTCTATAACAGAAAATTATAGCTGTCTGAAAAAAAATGACTGAAGACATTAGAAAATGAAAAATTATTCCCTATTCCCTCAACAAGCATAACTAATGTCAAATGGCCATATTACCAAATATGATATATAGCTATATAATGCAATTTCAATCAGAATACCAACAATATTCCTCACAGAACTAGAAAAAAAAACCTCCTGAAAGTTATATGGACTCAAAAGAGACTCAGAGTAGTCAAAGTAATCTCAAGCAAAGGAAGTAAAGCAGGAGACATTACAATTCCAAATTTTAAGATACACTGCAAAGCTACAGTAATAAAAATAGCATAGTGCTGGAACAAAAACAGTCACACTGACCAACAAAATAGAACTGAGGATGCAGAAACAATCCCATGCATCTTGAGTAATCTGAATTTTTTGACAAAGGGGTCACAAACATACTAGAGAAAAGAGAGCCACTTTAACAAATGGTGCTTGAAAAACTTGGCAAACCAAGTAGAATGAATCTAGACCCCTATCTCTCACCTTGTACTAAAATCAAAATGGATCAAATACCTAGATATAAAAAGAGAAACACTACATTCTGCTAAAAGACAAAATAGGTAAAACTCTAGAAGATATAAGCATAAGCAAAGATTTTCTGCAAAGAAATCCAATTACATATGAAATATCAAGAAATAACAATCAACAAACTGTATGTCAAATTACAACGTTTTGTACAGTAATAAAAACAATGAAGTGAAAACAATCTACAGAAACAAAACTTTTTTCCAGTTACTCTTTGAACAGAGGATTAATATCTAGAATGTAAACAAACAAACAAAAAAAGACTCCCGAAAAGAAAAGACTCAAAAAAAAACTGGGCAATTGAACAGAGACTGCTCAAAAGAATAGCACAACTAGTAATAATACATGAAAAAATGTTACACAGCTTTGGCCATTAAAGAAATATACATCAAAACAACACCGATTCCATATTAGTCCAGTAGGAATGGCTATCATCAAGAACTTGCTGATACACTATGCTGGCAAGGATGGAGGGAAAAGGAACTCTTCTATACTCTGAGTGGAAATGTAAATTGGTACAACCACTATAGAAATCAGTGTGGAAATGTCTCAAAAAACTCATAATAGAAATTCCATTTGATCCAGTTGGCCATCCTACTTTCCTGGAAAAATTAAAGACACATACTATAATAATATATGCATGCCCAGGTTTACAGCAGCACAATATCTAAATTATGGAAGTGACTTGAAGTCCATCAACAGATGCATAAAGAAAATGTGATTATATACATAATACAAGCATATATATATACACACACATACATATACACACAGTGGAATACAGCTCGACCACAAAGAAGGATAAAATTTGAATGATTCATAGGAAAATGGATAGATCTTGATAACAAAATGCTAAGTGAAATAAATCAGACACAGACGGCTAAATATATTCTTACATAAGAAACCCAAAATGTAAGTAATTTAAAGAACAAAATAAGAGAGAAAGAAAATAGGGAGGTAGACTTTCAGAGCTGGGAAGGTCACCCAGGCAAGAGGATGTAACAGGGCAAGGGAGAGGGGTAATAAAGTGTGAAGGAAAAAAAAATATATATACCCTAAATCAAAACCAACACTCCAAGATGAATGTAATTATTATATTACAAACATATAGTAATAATAAAAAAGAAGTATGGTTAAAACCTCCTGAAATTTGGTTAAAGACATAAATGTGCCAGTTTAGCAAACCTCAGGAAAAACCTAAAGAAATCCATGCTTTAGATTATAACCAACCCGCTAGAAATTAAAGGCAAAGAAACTATGTCATGTTCTTTATAGCAGAACTATTTAATTACAGTGAATTTTGCATCAGAAACCATGAAGACTAGAAAGAAGTTTAAAGTGCTAATTAAGGGCAGGGGATATAGCTCAGTGGTAGAATGTTCACCTAGTATGCACAATGACCTGAGTTGACTCCCCAGTACCACAAAAACAAACAAACAAACAAACAAAAAACCCAAAGTGCTAATTAGGAAAAGAAATGCAAAATGAGATTTATGTATCTGGTAAAAGTATCTTTCATATTTTTAACATTCTTTAGAATTTTGAAAGACTACACTGGCAGTGAGTAAGTGTAAGATAACTCAACGTCAGAAGACCTATTCTAAAATGAATTGCTAAAGGAAGCCTTTTGGACAGAAAGAGGGTACCAGAATGAAACACTGGATGTAGGGAAAAAGGAAAAGCAGCCGAAATGAAAGGAATAAATATGATGTGCTCTTCTCCCTAAATTTTTTAGAATATGTTTAAAGATGAAAAGCAAGAAATAAATTTTCAATGTATGCAGGTGAAATACACATGACAAGCACACAATGAAAGGGGCAGGAAAGGTCAAAGAGATAGGACGGTAGAGACAGACATCATTTGGTGGTAAATTACAGATTAAGTCTACCTGCAAATACTAAAGGAGGCATATTATAACTCTTAGAGTAACCACTAAAAACACTGAAAGAAGTAACAGGGCAAAACATTAAAAAATGTTCAAATAATCTAGAAAGTAGCAGGAAAGTGAAAGCTGAGGAATAAAAATCAGAAAAATAAAAAACAATATAGTGACTCTAAAATCACATGAAACAGAAATGGTCTAAACGTAACAACAATGCACAAATGTGAGTACCATTGCTGCTGCCTGACTGACGTGTTTTAAAATTTTGTTTTAGTTTTTTCTGTTTTTCTTACACTCCTTGAAATAAAATGGACTTAGAAAAAATAAACATACTAATTAAAATTCTAATTGTCAGAATGGATTTTTATTTTTATGAAACAAAATAAACAGAGTAACAACAGTTAATAAACTGCATATTGTTTTCTTCAAAGTATTACTCAGAGTACAAAATAGGGACAAAAAAAGAGTCTTAAAAATAAATGTCTCAGCACAAAACTTTCTTTTTAATGAACTACGAGGAACTAATAACATAAACGAAACAATACACTATATATACAGTAATGAATTCCAAGTAACTTGTTCCATGAGTGTTCGGCAACCAGCATTGTGGGAAGTTCATAAATACCTGAAACTGAAAAACCAGATAATGTAAGTATGCTAGTTAATGAAAGAAAGCTAAATTCCAAAAGTAGCGGCTAAAAGATATAAACAGTCATTCTGGGAAGCAGGAAATGTAGGAAGGTCAGGCCTACTGGAGGCTCTATGTACATAAACATTTGATTAAAACGAAAATACATCCTCCAAAAACATTTTAAGTATTTTCCTGGTGGGTTTTACCTAATCATTGTGTAACCTGAAGACAGCCCACGCATCAAAGTCAGACACCACCTTTTCTTTTCTGTGACCAAGGTTATGTTGCTAGAGTGCTGGACTCAGTACTGCTGAAGAGAGAGAGAGTCTGTGACACTGAGCATAGTGGGGACTAAACAGCTGTTTCATTCCAGTCCTCTGCATTTGGAATTAATTATATTACTGCGACTATGTTAAAGAAACGACTTGGCCTTTTCCTACCTCATTTTCTTCCTTCAGATTCTTGGGCTCTGTGATGCAACACTTTTGATCATCTTCAGAGTTCTTCAGAATTTTCAAAGAATTGAATTCTGAATCCTTTAATGGTTCCTTTGACACAGATTTAGATGACTTAAAAATAGATTACCATTAGCAGATTGCTAATAGATATGAAAGCAATATTATTTGGTCTTCTATGTTACAATGCTATTTTCAAAATTTACATGCCTATAAATTTTGGTGGGAAGTTTTCACTGCAGATCACACAAGTACTACTTTATTCTTTTAACTTTATCGATGAATGTTGGCCTTCCGATTAAGTTAAATAATTTTAGTTAACAGATTTTTTGTTTTGACTTTTGAGACAGGGTTTCACTATGTAGTCCAATCTGGCCTAGAACTCACAGTGATCCTCCTGCCTCAGCCTCCCAAGTGTTGGACTTACAGTCATGTACTGCTATCCCTGGTATGTTAACAGGTATTTTTGAGCATATATTATCAAATGGTTATAGGACAACACTTTGCATCTACAAAAGGATGTATCAGGTTACAGCTCTAAAGGAATTAAAAAATACTAACAAAGGTTACAATGAGGTCCTTACAGTGCGGTCTTCTGAGTAGAACCATCACAGAGACACACTGAAAATATTATTAAGGGAGGGAGTCTTAGAAGAGATAATGCAAACTGTTAGAATGCTTGAAAAACTCTTAGGAATGAGCAAGGGACTGCATGGTAGGTGGTGTGTGTGTGTGGAGCATAAAGGGAGTCTTGCTACATCAAAATGCAGACTATGATGGGGAACCAGACTTTTGTCTTCTCTTGTACAGAAAAGACCGTCATACTTCTAGGTCTAAACTATGATCATCTGAAGACATAATCAGATATTCTAAAAATGTTAAAGGTTGATTCACTGTTTAAGGTAAGGAAATGTTCTTTTACTCCAGTAATAATAACAAAAATTCAGGCCCCTAATGGACCAAACAAACCCAATTAATCAGACATTAACTAGAAATCTAACTTTTATATGGTTTTGAACACACCACAAAAAACACATTTTGTGTAAGAGGTTAATCTCAGTAGTCAAATGGCATGACTTTTTACCTTATTAATAAACATCTACTTTAAAAACTCATCATATCTATAACTTTAAAGTCAGATATATAATACATATTAGAGTATTTTATGTTTTATTCAAAGAAAAATTTAAGAACCTTACTGTATCAACCAAAACCAAAACATTTTGACTCTTAAACACAGACTAGAACTCACAGTGATACTCCTGCTGTCCAGTATCTGTTGTCATGAGGAGTATTGAATTTAGACCACACATTTATTTGTTTAAGAAACATTAAGTTTTACTAGGTACTTTACTGTCCTTTTATCTATAATGTTCCAACTTGGTAAAGTTATTATGAACATTAAATCAGCTAATATATATGTGCTTACAACAGTGCCAGTGATATGTTTAATAAATATTACTTAGTTGAGAAAAATATATAATAAAAGCATTACTATATTATCATTACTGGGAAGCGCAGGCAAAATGTTTATTAGGAAAGAAAGAAAAGAAATAAGACTTGAAGAAAGCACTTGAGTAGTACAGGGGGAAGAAGACTGGCATTTGGACGATAAGGGAAGCCATACTTAGACAAAGGAAGCAAAGGAGTTTAATACAGACAGAAATCATACAAGAAGCCACACAGCTAATACACAAGCTTAAATCTGCAAATAATGAGACAAAGTAACTGTTAAGATCACTGTGCAAAATTTCCAAACTTTCCTAAATTTTGAAAGCTTCAGTTCCTTCATCTATAAAATAGGGATAGCTAAGGTTAATAATAGAAATTATAACAGTATTTGCAAAAACCTCTTACCAGGGTATGTAATTTACACTCTTTGGATTGTGGACTTATCTCTCGGTCTTCATTAAAATAGTGGTGCTGGGAAAGATAACCCAGTTCCGTCATGACATCATCCAGCACACCACTGTACTCAGTAGTGTATAAAGCTAAAGGGTTTAGGTCTCGGAAACCCTACGGTTAAAAATAAAACATAATAAAGAGGAGGAAGGATTTAATTATATAATGAAGAGTGAAGAGAAAAAGTACTTCATAATTTTCAAATGCCATGGAAATACACTACTTTCTAAAATTCAATAGTTAAGTGTCTTCATTATTGACACATTTATCTAGTTACAAAGATTAAGATCAAAATTAACAGTGATATAAATACCATTATCAATAATTGTACAATAGAAGTGTCATTGTCTAGAATAATTGTAGATAATGTATTTTGGGATAAGAGAGAATATTTAATCATTTAAGAACAATTAGCCAAATGTGATTTTTGTACAATCATAGGAAAATTAAGACAGTATTCCTCATTAAGAAGCCAGGTATCTAATGGATAGTTACAAGATAAAACAATAATCAAACAACCTTCTGTATTCTCATATTTTAATGGTGAGATCCAACAAAATACGCTACAGAATACATCCCGACTGCTCTACCTTAGAAGGGACATTTTCTCGGCATACAATAGCATGGCCCTCTGTTCTCAAGACGTGATGGAAATAAATGTCTTCATTTGAGGATGTATCACACAAAAAGATGTTGAGGATTCCATCTATATATTCATCCACTACTCCCACTAATGGCTTCAAACCACACAACTTCTGGAACTGCAAAACTGCTCTGGATGTCCAGTGTTCCTGAAATAAAGTCAAGATGCTAGATTTAAGTGATAGCCTTAAACATGAATTACAGTGACCATACACAGAAATGACTTCCTCATGAAATACAACTGTAATGGAAAAATAAAACTATAAAAGAACCAAAATAACGTTCCTTATTTTCTTCCTTCCTTCCGTCCTATACTAGGGATCGAATGTAGAGCCCTTGCACTGACCTACCATCTCCAGCCCCTTCTTTTTCTGATTTACCTGAGACAGGACCTTGCCAAGTTGCCAAATTGTTTGAAGTTTTTGATCCCCTGCCTCAGCCTCCCAGAGTGCTGGGACTGAAGATGTGCCGTGCACATCTCGAGCTATTCTTACAAATCATTTTGCAAAGACAGAAAGTGATGACAGGCACAGAAAAGAAGCACACACAGAAACAGTAAATCACAGCATCAAGTAGAAATCACATAATGGAAACACGTAAAACCTTAGACAAATCACAAAACAAATCCAGTATGCTTAAAGGAGATCTCAACAAAACATAAAAACACCCAACTTAGTTTGAAAGCTTCTGCAGAGATCAGTAATTCATACAAACTTAGCAAAACTAAGAATTTTTAGAAAGTAAAAATACAATAACCCAAATTAGAGATTTTGTAGGTTAATTCACTAGCAGATTAAATAGGGTAAAAAATGGTAAATAGGTAAATAGGATAAAATGGTAAAGGAGAAGACAATCTGGAAAAAAATTACCTTATATGGATAGATGTAAAATACAGAAGAGGTTATAGGCTATAAACGAAAAACTGAAGAAGTTTAATATACTTTTTAAAAGAGACAAAAATGGAATAAAAAACTTTTGGAGAATAGGCAATAAATGAGATAATGGCTAGGCTTTACAAGATTTAGTAAATTAAACTACAGATGAAGTCCAAGACAAATACAAATAAATTAATATATAAAATCTTTTTTTTTTTTTTTTTTTTTGGTACTAGGGATTGAACTCATGACCTAGCGCTTGCCAGGCAGGCACTTAAGCCACTGAGCTAAATCCCTGGTCCAAATAATTTTTTGTTTAGTACTGGAAATTGAACTCAGGGGCTCATGCTTGTCAGGCAGGTGCTGTGTCACTGAGCAACGTCCCTGGCCCCGTAAACTTATATTCACATATGAACACATACTAACCAAAGAATACAAACATTAAATAGAAAACTTTAACAACATAGACAAAGAGGACACTGCCTTCAAAGGAAAATCCATTAGACTGAAGATTACTTCTTCAAATATCCCAATAAAAATAAATAAAACATGTTCTTCCTTCCTACTGTTAAAGTTTTCTGAAGGTCAGGGTCTTGCATTTATTATGGGTATTAATCCTTGCACAGTGTTTAATCTCCAAAATGTAATGAAATATTTATATGACAATTTAAAAAAACAAAATTGCTGGTGACAAATGATCCCAGCCTTTTTTTTTTTGGTATGGTTTTCCTATTTTTTTCTCAGTGCTGGTAATCAAACCCGGGACTTGGGCACACTAGACAACATTCTATTACCAAGCTACAACCTCGGCCCTTCCACGTCTTACTTTTAGTTGTACACTATATAATTATGTCTCAGCAGATAATAAACTGCATATATAACAACAATATTTTCATTTTTAATTTAAAACACTTAAATTATGTCTGTGCTTTAATTTAAGACATTTAAAATATGTGCTTTAAAATATGTCTGTCCTGGGTCTGGCAGAGGCAACACCATCTAGATTTGTGTTAGTATGTTCTGTGACGCTCACATGATGAAGTTACTTTGCAATTCATTTCTCAGCATGTATCTACACTGTTAAAATGACACTTGTCTATGACTGAAAATGTCCATTGCTTCTTCACTTTTAATGGTCATTTTACTGAATATAGACGCTAAACTAACATTTTTTCTTTCAGGCCTCAACAGTGCTCCTGTCAATGGTTTTTCACTACACTGTTATTCTGAATTTTTTTCACTCGTTTCTTTCAAGATTTTCTTCTTGTATTTCAGCTCTTCATTTATGATGTAACCAGTTAGTTTTCTTCATATTTATTTGGCTTGAATTCTGTTGATTTTCTTAGATTTGAATACTGGCCGCTGTTCACTAAAGTTGGAAAATTTTGGCCTTCATTTCCTCGATCTCATTCTTTCTCTGGAACATCAACTATAGGAGTGTTGAAATACGAGATGCTGAAACACTGTTTTCTAAATCTGTCCTTTTTTTTTTGAGGCAGAGTCTCACTATGTAGTGTAGGCTTAGCTTTGAGGTTGCTTATGTAGCCCAGGCTGGCCTCAAACTCATGGCAACCCTCCCGCCTCAGCCTCCTGGAGTGCTGAGGTTACTGGTATGCACCACCACATCCAGCTCTTTCAAACTGATTTTTAAAAAACTTTTCAAATTGTTTTTCTTTTGATCTATTTTTAAGTTCACACTGCCCTACTGTTTCTGAATCTGCTATCAAGCCTATCCAGAAACTTTTCATTTATTTTTATAATTCCATAAGTATTTATTACAATTTCCTCCTGGAATCCCTTATCTGTTCATTAATTATGAATAAATATTCAAATCTTTGAACATATTCATAATAGCTAATTGAAAGCTCATCTTCCTTTGTAACATTTAGACCATCCCAGTGTCAGTCTCTACGAATTACCTTTTTCCTTGTACTACATGTTTGTGTTTCTTTGTATGTCTGGTGATTTTTAATTGGACAGTAGCACTAATAGTACATTACAGAGACTGCAAGTTCTATTAGGCTCTGAAGAGTGTTTTTTGTTATTATTTACAAGTATTTAAACTGAGCTGGTCATGGTGCAAATGTCTATAATCCCAAAATTCTAGGAGTCTGAGGCAGCAGAATTGCAAGTTCCAGTCCAGCCTGTACAATTTAGACCTTGTCAAAAAATAAAATTAAATAAAAATGAATGGCTTAGAGTATAGCTCTGTGTGAAGACCCTGGGTTCATTTTCCAATACCACAAAAACAAAGAACAAGTAGCTGTCTGGATTTATACTCTTAAACTTTACCCTTCTTGCAGTCCATAGCAACTGAAATCTGTTTGCAGTTCCTTCAAATACATCTATGAATTTGTAACTAAGTTTACTGGACTCTTCCCAGGTGTAACGTTTGGCAGTCACTTAAAGATCTGGATGAAGTATATGATTTTAGAACTCATTCACTCTACAGCTTCCCTCCGTTAAGGATTACTTGCCTAACTTCTTGCTGGTCTGCCATCTCAGACAGTGTCTGTCAGTTTTTCAAGCCAGAAAGGCTGTAGACTGGGGAGCAGCCTCCAGAAAGCAGCTGAAACAGTGCCCATCTTACTTCTAGGTATTTGACTCACAAGGGCCTCTTTCTGCGTTCTGTTTATTTTTTCTTTTGTTCATCATGCTTCTCTGTTGCTACAGTGTCATTGCCCAATGCATTACTTATTTTTGAAATGAGAAAATAGATGTAAAAATAGTGAGATTCAGTAAGTAAACAGATCTACTGTACTCTTCTAATGCATCACATATTGATTAGGTATTAGAGATTCAGTGGTGAACAAGATAGACAATGTTCCTATCTTAAACAACTTAAACCACTGTGTTTGAAACAACAACAGCAGAAAAGTGACACGTTATGAAAACAAGGTGAAATGAATTACAGAGGGGGAAGGGTGCACTTTAAAATGACTGGGAAGTCCTGTTGAGGAAGTAACAGGAAGGACAATCAGGAGGTGACTTCAGCTAAGCAATTTCAGTGATTAGAATGGGCAAAAGCACTAAAAAGGAGCAGAGGAATGAAACAAGAGAAACAACAACAAAAAAGAAGCCATTTGACTAACAGTAAAGGACAATGGTTATCAGCAGGTCACAAATTTAGTCCTGAGCTTCTCAATCACCAAAGTGAGTCATCCACTGAGAGCTAAAATGTACTCTACAAAACAGACAAACTGTGCATTGCACTCATTACTTGTAACAGAAACTACACGCCAACTATATCTAACAATAAAGGAACTAACAAACAACAATGCCTATTTAGCTATCAGATTACTTTGAATCCATTAAAATCAAGACCTTAACCTATAAACAGTTATGCCATACTGCATAGTAAAACAATCATATAAAATGTTTTATAAGAGGATATAGATTATAATTCCTATTTGAGATACCACAGGAAATCCTACAAAAACCCTCACCCCCAGCATCCAATAAACTATTATAAATGCACACCAAATTTCTAAATGGAATGCATCTCACTGGGAAAATTATACATTTTTTCCACTTTTGTTCTCTTGCCTGTATTTTTGAAGTAAAAGCATTTAAAATAATAATCCATTCATATATAAGCAACTGACAAATTATTTAGTTAGACAAATATGGTGTAATAAACATGTAGGGAGTTTGAAAAGGACAAGGCAACTAAACTATAGCCACACAAACCTACATACATGTGTGGATACACATGCCTCCTGCTCCATCGCACTCCAGTCATCTTCACAATACTACGAGATAATTGTCTTAAAGCACACATCTGCACACATCTGACGGTGCCATTTCTCAGCATCTAAATAGCAACAGCATTCTGACCTCTGAATGTGGCTCTTGAAATGAATTTTGTGCATATAGCATTTCTCTGAAAATATCTGCCACTAACCCACTCCAACTCACACGACATTTTGTGTCAAACAGAGGTACTTAATAACTTCTCAAAGTTGAAATCTTCATGTTAATCTTTCCTTGTCTGGAATGTCTTTCGTCTCTCTTTATCTTCTCCAGTTATGTTTGTAATTTTCTTTCAAATGCTACCTCAATTATGAAGCCTTTCCTGATTTCTCTAGACGGAGAAGGGTGTATTTTGCTCCTTTACCACATATTGTAAAATCCTCTTTTACAACAAATCTGGCATGATACAATAATTTTTGTACAATGACTATGTTCTACACGATAAAGAATAATTTGTTTGAGGGCTGGCTTCATGTTTTATTTTTGTACCCAGCAGACTCAGAACTGTTCCTGGCATATAGCAAGCACCCAAATGCTTGCTGATCAATGGAAACAAGCAAACATACCTTTACTGGTCTCACCCAAGCCAAAGAACAAGGGATAGCCTGAGCCGGAAGCTTGGTGTAGCAGCACCTATGGTAGGTAATCAAATATATGTATATTTAATAATTTGTTAAACCCTATTTTATGAAATCTAATTCATTTTTTGGGATTGTTATTCATACCACTTCACAGTACAGTGTTTCCTCATTTACAAACTCAATTTGTTCCATGATTTTGGAAAAGACAACCATGTTTGTTTTCTAGGAAAGATGGCCATGGTTGTGTTTGTCACCCGATGTAGAATTTGTAAACAAAAACAAAATTTTGCAAAACACTATTTGTGAACCAAACTTTTTGCAAATAAAAGTGTTTATGAACCAAGGCATCACTGTATTTTATTCATGAATTTTAAAATGAATGCCTTTAAGCAAATAAAATTAAAGCAATCTAAGTACTAAAATTACAAAGCATAGTTAATCTTTGAGGAATCTATTCAATAAAGTAGGTAAAAATAGCTCAACCTTTCTGCTATACATATATAGATGCATCTCTTATGACCTATAGTCATTTTCTTAATGAGACTGAAACTTATTCCTGTGCTCCATTCAAATTCCTAGTCAAGTGAAAAAGATTATAATTCATCTATGAAATTAAATGACCAGTTGCCAAACCTCCACTAAGAAGAAAGAGAGATAGAAAGCAGGGGAGGGTGGAAAACCAAGAGCAAAAGCAGAGTCCCAGCTCTGTGACATAACTTGTCCATTGTTTTTATTAAATTCAACTTACTTCAGGAACCTTAGAGAGGACTTCTGGACAGTACCAATATTTCCAAAGTCTGGGTAAAACACTTCAACTTCATTTTTTGCCAGGACTTGATGGATAACAACTCGATACCACCACTTATCTTCAGAAATTCTTACACAACAGAGATGTCCCGGCTGGATAAAATGTTCTGGCATGGTATATCGATCAGAAACTAGTTGGTTTGAGTAACAGCGCCTGTGGAATGCCACAATACAGAGAAACTCATAGTGAAAGAAAAACTAAGATCACTTTTGTTGATCTAACAAGAATAGGACAACATTAACAAAAAGCAAAGAAAAAAATCCTCTTTTAAGAATGTGTTAATGTTTAACACCAAAGGATTTTCTTATGTTATCTGAATAAACCATAAACCAACTTTTCCCCCCAATATTTTCTAAAGGATATTTTTAAAAACAGGCAAGGGATGTAGCTCATAAGGAAAACACTTACTTGCCTAGCATGTTCAAGGCCCTGGGTTCCATCCCAGGCACTAGGAAAAAAATCTATAAAAAATATCAGTGACCAGTTAATTCCCAAATCCAATATTCTTTCTCTTCTAAGTCTTCAATATACTTGATCTTTTTATATAGCATTACCTAATATTTTTTCAAACTCTTTCTTATTTAACAATTTATCTTCGTTTGTAAGACAAATTTTCTCTTCCTTCCTTATCAATAATTACCCGTTAGTAGGCTCAGCTTTGCCTAAAAAATTTGGGTTTCCTGGGGTTTTTAGGAAGTAAAACAACATGATTACTGTATTGGTTTTCTGGTATGAGAAACTAAAAGTGTAAAATCCTCTTTTACAACAAATCTGGCATGATACAATAATTTTTGCACGATGACTATCTTCCATACAATAAAGAATATATAAAATATGAAGAATATATAAAATATATATGAAGAATATATAAAAGAATATGTAAAATATATCATAGTTGTTGGGAAATGAGAGGATAGTGTTCAAATGGGAAGGGGAACAAGGGAAGAGAGGGAAAGGAAGAAATGGACAAGAAAAAAAAGAATAGAAGGACAAAATGGAAACCACTTTTCTACATGAGGAAAAGCAGCATTCAAGTGACAAGAGGGAAATGGGAAAAAAAGAAGCAAGGTATACCATGCAGAGGTACAAGCTCCCTATGATGAATATTATCATTGTGTATATCTAAAATGTACCAATAAAAATTTTTTAAAAAGGAAGGATAATTTCAAATCTTGACTCCATGATGTGTTAGTGGTGCAACTATCTCTGTGATTCAGTTTCCCTGTTGAAGATGAAATAATTTTTAAAATCTGGGTCAAAAAATGTGAAAATGTAGAACAGTGATCAACTATAGTAATAAGAGTTACTAATTATAATTGTTATGGTACATTATCTGATCCATTTTCATGCCCTATATACCACTGCTAAACTGATGGTTCTTTCTAGGAGGCCTTACATCCTAAGATTCAAAAGCTATATTCTCACTGGAAAGAAGACATGTTCCCAGCGTTCATTCTCTTCTCTTTTTTCCTCAGTAATAAGATATCCGTATCTTCATTTGTGGATTGCAAGGAAAGAGAACAAGAGTCAATGCGAGGCAAGCCCTCCCTGCAATCAGCTGTTGCGGGGAGAGCTAGATGGCAGCCTTCCCCATGCGTCAGCACCATTCGTGGACTACGGGAGAAGTGAACAAGCAGCCAGTAAGAAGCAAGCCCTAGAGTAGCACAGAACTTCAAAACAGAATAGGACTTCTGATCTGATGGTGAGTTGTAAGCAGCAGAGAAGACAGCCACTCTGAGAGTCACCATCCAGGATTCTGGAACACAGCACTGTGAGGAAGGTAAGAAGGAAGGAAGCCCCTGGACCCAGGAAGAATCTGAAGTGCAAATTGAAGCCCACCAAGAGAGAAAAAAGAAAAACTTCAATGAAGAAGAAGGCGGCATCTGGTTGTGCCTTCACCAAGATGGTACTCACTGCACCAGAGGAGCTGTTCAAACCTGAGGACGCACAGTCATGGTGATGCTGATGGCTGGTGTCCTCTGCAGAGAGACACAGCAGTGGAGGGCAAAGGCAGACGTGGAGGACTGCCCAGGCTGGCTGTGAGTGCAGAGGACTTAGAAACCCCGTGGGAGAGAGTGTTTAGCTGGGCGCCATTTTGGAGACAGGCAGGATAAGCCCAGAAGCCAGAACTGCAGCCGGCTTCCTCTAGCAGCTCCTAGCTGGGCACAGACCTGTGGAAACTGCTTGGACTATGGCAAGCCCAGACTGGTTTCAGAACAAGCCTACTGAGATTATCTATTATTTCACCATATAGCAACTGCTGGCTTCCTGGGACAGAGCGGCATGATCTGGGACTCTGTCTCCACAGGCTGTCTACCAGTGAAACCAGAAAGAATCCTGGAAATGGACTATTTGGTTTTCTTTTTCATTTTTTCTCCTTCATTGTTTATACATCAGTGTGAAAGTGGTTCCTAACCTCTTTGTGGGTTGGTTCTGTTCTGTTCTTCCTTTTATCTCTTCTATCTCTCCTTCTTTCAGTCTTCCCTACCAGCTACCCTAAGTTGGCATGATCCTCCTTTGTCCTACAACTTTATTTCTATTCTCTTTCTCTTCTTTCACTTCCCTATTTTCTCCTCAATCCATTTTAAATGATGAAACTGATATATATTATGGACTTGTATGTTGCATATAATTATCTGGTTTTACATTTTGTTATATAATTACAAATCTAGTTCACGTGCTTAAAAGTTGCAAATTAAAGGGTTAACTCAATTTGTTGTTTTCTAGGTTGTGTTTGATGCTACTGGTACCACTAGAGCCAAAATTGACATAACTGTTCTTTTTTTTTTTTTTTGGTCTTTTTTCATTTTTATCGGTACCGGGGATCGAACTCACGACCGCCTGCTTGCAAGGCAGGTGCTTATGCCGCTGAGCTAAACCCCCAGCCCCAACATAACTGTTCTAAACAGCTGTTGATCCTGATAATCGATGACTGAAATTAACTAAGGGTCACAGAAAATATGGTGGCACAGTGCCAAAGAGCCAGAGACTAGGCCAAACTAGCAACAACTTATCTGTGACACTTAAGAGGTAACATCTTCCAACAGACTCAAAACCCAAAACCCAGCTACACTTGGAAGATACTTCAGAGAAATATCCTAAGGATACTACCTAAATACTACCAATAAAGCAACCCACCATAGGCAACTTATAAGTATCACTCCAGAAATTAAATTGAAAAAAAGAGACAAAATAAAATGAGACACTTTAGCAAAATGCAACCTCAGCCAGTTGCATCAAAGGCAAATCCTGGGGGCAATGAGGGGGGACAATCTGAAAGCCCCCCACCAGGTTTCTCTATGATGGAAACAATAAAGAAATTGAATGAGGCCCTGAAAAAAAATGAAATCAGAAATAATCTCTCATATAACTACAGAGATTATCAAAAGATACACCATGCTTAGCCATGTCAGAGCAGACAAAGATCAAAAAATAGATAAGCTTAATTATAGAAGCTCAGCATAGAAAACAAATGGAATCCATAAAGCAAACACAAGCAGATATTCAGGTAAATAAAAACTCCACTGAAAACGTTCGAAGCAGATTAGGCCAGTGTGAGGACAGGATCTCAGATACTGAAGACAGTTAGTTGCAGTTAGTGATCAGGAAAGGAAAGATTTCTCAAAAATAGCAAGGGACCATGAGAAATCAACCCGACAACTGCTAGATGAGACAAACAAGAATAACTTAAAATTAATTGGAGTCAAAGAACAAGCAGGAGATACCACAAATGACATTAAAAACATGTTGACAGACACTGTGACAGAAAACTTTCCCGTGAAAGAAAAAGAATTTGACATACAAATAAGTGAGGCATATAGAACTCCAATTAGCGATAACCAAATAAAATCTAACCCAGGCACATTATAGTCAAGATTTCAGAAATTCAACACAAGAATAAAATGTTAGAAGAGCTGGGAAAAGAAATAAATCACCTATCAAGGAAAGCCCGTCAGAATCACAGCTGACTTCTCAGCACAAACTCTCAAGTCAAGGGGAATTTGGAGTGAAGTAATCCAAGTTCTAAAGGAAAACAACTTTTAACCCAGACTGAGGTGCCTCACAGAACTATCTTTCAAAATTGATGGAGAAATACGATGCTTCTATGACAGAAAACATCTGAGGAAATTTATGACCACCAAATAAACACTCCAAAAGGTTTTAAAGGATATTCTAGAAAGAGGTAATAAGGACTACAGTTTCATGAACCCCAACAAAAGAAATCTACCAGGGAAGGCAAATAATTAGAGAGACAAGAAAAAGCGGGGCACCAACAACAAGAAAATAACATGACAAGCATAAGTCACTACGTATCAGTTATAACCATCAATGTTAATGGTCTTAATTCATCACTCAAAAGACACAGACTGGTAGAATGGATCATGACTATCACCATACACTCAACTGAAGTAAAAATGGATCAAAGGACTAGATATTAAAAGTGAAACACTGAATTTACTGGAAGACAAAGTAGGTAGAAACCTCGAAAATATAGAAGTAGGCAGAGAATTCACAAACAAAAATCAAACTGCATGAAAAATGCTTCCCAGAATCAACAACTAGGATTTCATCTTACTAAAAAGTTTTTGCATGTCAAAAGAAATCTCTAAGAGAATGAAAAGAAAACCTACAAATGGGAAAAAATCTTAGACAATTGTCCCTCAGAAAAAGGACTTCTATCTAGAACATGTAAAGAATTTTAAAAATCAGGCCCCCAAAATTCAAAGACCCAATCTAAAAATGGGCATCTGAGATGAATACATACTTCTCAGATGAAGTAAAAATGTAAATATATGAAAAATGCTCAGTATTATTGGTCATTAGAGAAATGCAAATTAAAACCACACTGAGATTCCATGTCACTCCAGAAAGGATGACCAGGATCAAGAAAACTACCAATAACAAATGCTGGAGAGGCTGTGGGAAAAAGGAACTCTCCTGCACTGCTGGTGGGAGTGTCACTGGTGCAACCACTGTGGAGGTCAGTCTGGAGATTCCTCAGAAAGCTGGGGTTGGAAGTCCCATTTGACCCAGCTATTCCACTTCTGGACATATTCCCAGAAGAACTGAAAACATCATACCACACTATATATATATATATATATATATATATATATATATGTATATCCATATAACTATATAATATATATATGGATATATGGATATACCCATATATAAAATATATGTATGAGTATATATATATATATATATATATATGTATATATATATATCCATGTTTATAATAGCACAATTTATAATAACCAAATCTTAAAACAACCCAAATGCCCATCAACTGAGGAATCAATAAAAAAGAGATAGTACTTTTATACAGTAGAGTAATACTCGCCATGAAGAAGGATCACATTGAGGCTTTTATAGGTAAGTGAATGTGACTTGAGACCATGCTTATAAATGAGATAAATCAAACTCACGTGTGTAAACACCGTATTGTCTCTCTAGTGCAAGAAACAAAAAGTAAGATCCAAAAATTTCAATAAATATTGTGAAAGGGTAAGAAACTGATCAAAGGGGAAAAATAACTCAGGGAAAAGGAGAAAAGAAGGAAGAGAAAAGAAAAAAGATATAAATTTCTATATATACACTTAAGAAAGCTAAGATGATTGCACTACTAATTCTAATAGTTCTTGGATTATTCATAGGATTAGGTCAATTTTGCATGTCTATCTGGTAATCTTGAGTAACTCTTGTTGAAGATAATTATGCAAAATAATAACCTTTTGTTAAATTTCTACTACCTTGGCTTGAAAGCCTCTATTGTTATTGTTTTGGGGTTTTTGCTATTATTGTTTATTTGTCTTTTGTTTGTTTTGTTTTTCCCTCTTTAAAATAAAATTTAAAAATACACTGCTCCATTGGTTAAAAAAAAAAGATTCACTGTATGTTGGTCCATGTGAGTACATGATTAGGAAGGCCCTTCTTATGCTTAAATGGCTCTGCTGCTGGTATTTTGAAATTCTTAATTTTTAAAGAAGGAACTCTGCATTTTAATTTTCTACTGGGGTCTAGAACACAGTGCTGAAATTAGTTATGGCACAAGTAAATCAATCAACTTTAACAGAGTATGTGAAAAATTTCAAATTCCATATTGTAACTTATCTTTAATATCAAATCACCAATTGTTAAGATTTAACATATTATCAATAAACAATATTTACAACTGTCTGAAAAGACTACTAAAACACTCCTTGCCCAACTACATAACTGTGTGATGCTAGACATTTCATATACTTCAACCAAAACCAAGCACAGTATATCCTCCAAACCATGTTGATTAGTGTAAGACACAAGAAAAAATACACTGAAAATAGCAGAATCCTACCGCATTTCAATCATCATGTCTTCCAGTAACTCTGATGAATCCCTGCTATAGATTCGGATGTAGAACTGACTAGGAGAGATAATGTACTCCACAAAGACCCCCACAAGGGTACTGGTATCTAATGGGGGAAGTCTGCATAATTTCTTTTCTTGTACAGCATCTGGTGGGATATCATGATTTGCCAGTGACAAGTTGAGCTGTGGTTTGCTGATTTCTAGTTCCTACAAATTTTTTTAAAAAGAAGAAAGAAATGAAATCATAATAAGTCTTTGGGCAACATTTCTCATATTTCATGTATATTTCATGAATCACTTCCAAGAATTACTTGGGAAATTAAAAATGCAATTTTTAGGCTTGAGCCAGATTTACTTATTCATAATACTTCAGAATGGAGCTTAAAGTTACGCATTTTAAAAAATTCCCCATGTGATTTTTACTTACATTAAAATTAAAAATTTAGTTTTATGGTATTAGGCAAATAACTAAGAAGTATTATGCAAATACTCTATACAAACTTCACAACACGGTACTTCACATATTTAGGTTGAACTAAGGAGGATTCTCACCCCATCCATTCCTACCAAAGGTGAAAGTAACTTTAAGGAATTGATTAAATTTTGACTAGCCGTCTAATCAAAGATAGGGTTTTACGAACACTTTTATTCTTAAACACATGTTTTAATTGTAGGCTTTCCTGTTGTCTTCCACAAAATATAGCAGGCTCTCAGGATATTTTTATTCCATAAAAGATGTCAGATAGAGAGAATACAATGAAAAAGAATACAATTAATTCTTTAGTAATGACATTAGTAATGCAAAATGAGAATACAAAAAGGAAAAATCATGTTTCAAGGTGTAATGAAGGAGAAAAAAAAAGCACTGAATAACTGAGGCTGAGTGCAAAGGTGACACGCAGAACTGAGCAAGAAGAGAGCTGCCCTCTCTCTCCTCGAAGGTACTGTGGGATTTTCCAGCCTAAACTTTGAAACATAGATACACTCGGCAATATCAATATGAGGGCACTGTCAAGTCTCAAGACCATCTGAAAACTTTAAAATGACTTGAGGGAAATCTAGTTATATAAAAGACTGAAAACTAGCAATAATATTACATGAGGTGACTTTGGACCAAAGAATTGGGCTCTACCAAAAAGGAATATATCTTGAAATAAAAATCCTCTAAAAAGAATTTTGCTTAAAAACCATTCATTCAGTAAAGACTTTACCACCAGGTTAGGCTCCTTACAAATCTTCAGCTCTGGATCTTTATGTTTTTTCAAAGAGCAATTCCATATAGTCTCCTTAACAGCAGCAGTAGATGGTGCATTTCTTGGAGGACTGGAGGTGTACACTTTGGGTTCTCCTTTTTTATTTGATTGAACAAAACATGAATTTCTGATGGATGAGGCAACTCCATCTAAAATGACCAATAAATATTTGCATATTTGTTACAATAATGATACAACTGTCACTAAGTACCTTCTAGGAACCAGGCACCAGGGAGACTATGATAAATGAGATATTTACCTCACCTTGTAGACCTTTCAGTGTGGAGACACATAAGGGAAGTTCTAGATGAAAACAAGTCCTAGAGGGGCAAGGAAGCTTGCAGTGTGGTAAAGTTTCTTAAACTCTTGTGAATGGCTTTATTTTTTAACATCCTGATTTTCAAAGTATTTCTTGTTCTAATTAAGCAGGAAACACTCATTATCACTTAATGTACAATGGGTGCAATTACTTAGAATTTCATAATATGATGATTTAGTTCTTAGACAATTCCCAAACCAATCAATGATTTTGTTCAAACTTACATATGTAAGATGACTATATGAAGTTGGCATATTAAAAGACTTCAATGGCTCCTAAAAAAATAAAATCATGTACACTAAGCTGTGGTACAAAAATAATTATCACAGGGCTGGGGATAAAGCTCCCCAACAGAGTGTTGATCTAGTATGTGTGAGGCTTGGATTTGATCCTCAGCAATGCAAAATCTAAGTAAATATTTAAAAATTTACCACGATACTTTTTATAACACTAAAAATGGAAGCAATCTAATGACCAACAAGGAGACTGGTTAAATTATTACACAGTTACATTAAAGATTTATAGCTAAAATTTGATGAATTCACACACTAATAGGAAAAATACCCACAATACATGAAAAACAAAAAGGACTTACACAATATTTATATAACATTTCTTTGTATAAAAATTATACATATAACTATATTATATAAAAGTCCAGAAATACACACTATTTGTATTAACATTATAGTGTATTCATAGAATACAAGTTTTTGTGATAAAAAATATAGTTACGCTTATGCATACATTTAATAACATCTGGAAAGCTATATAAAATTATAACAGCATTATTTCTGAGAGGTTATGCAAAATGACTAGAAATGTTCACTTTTTATCTACTACTCATCTATGTTGCTTATAAATTTTAAAGTGAGGATGGGTTACTGTGATACTCAGAAAACACTGAAAAGTACATTTCAGAAAAGTATCTGTGGAAGTCTATAAAAATATAAATATATTTTTCTATAGTTTTGAAAAATGTTACCCATGGGGATACTTAGTAAAGGTATGTGGGACTTTTCTGTAGTCTTTTTTTTTTTTTTTTTTGTCTTTTTCCTTTTTATCGGTACTGGGAATCAAACTCAGGACTGCCTACTTACAAGGCAGGCACTTATGCCGTTGAGCTAAATCCCCAGCCCCTTCTGTAGTATTTCTTAAAACTGCATAAGAATCTAAAGCTATGTTAATAATCTACCTTCTCCACAAAAAATTTGAAAATGAAAAATCAATTATCCTACATGCAATATGGCATCCTGGAGTAATAGAAAAAGACATTTTTTGGAAAAACTGATAAAATAAGGATGAAGGTTAGAGTTTAATTTGCAGAAGTATACCAATATTAATTTCTTAGAGGGAGTGATCAATAATTATGATTTTGTTTTGAAAAATACACTATGGTAATGTAAGATGTCGATATTAGGGAAAATGATTAAAAGGTATATAAGAACTCTGTATTAACTTTGCAACTTTTCCATAAACTAAAGTTACCCCCAAATAAAATGCTTATTAAAAATACAATTGTGCTGAGGCAGGAGGATCACTGCAAGTTCGAGAACAGCCTACTACAAAGTGGGCCCAAGGCCAGCCTGAGATGCATAGCGAGACCCTGTCTCAAAAAGACAAAGAAAAAAAATACGATTCTGGGGTCCTATAAATGTGACATATCCATTTATTCTGCATCTCCATATATTTCTAAAAAGCTTTTGATGTGCAGCCATAGTTAAAGGCTACTGAACTATCAGTCCTTATTTTCAAAACTTTTCTTCAGAATTATCTTAAAAACTGGACAATATTTTAGCTGTTTTATTACTAATACAGGTTAACTTTATTGTAATAAATACCACTCGAAAGGAGGTCATTTTATACAAAGCATTTCACAGTTAAAATGTAATATATTCAGTTGATGTGGTTATAATAAAAACTCTTACCTAACCAATGCTCTTCCTGTTTTTATAAAAGGACTATTAAAAATGAGTTCAGCTCACCAGGATGTATAGGCTTCATATCAGCATCAAACACCAGCAAGTCTTGTTCTCCTTCCCTAGACTCAACACGAAGTATGTCACTAAGAGCTCCAACAAGTTCTGTCACATTTAAAAAGCCCAAGTCCTTTGGTGAAAGTTGCTCTTTAAAAATTATCTGTCAAAAAACCCCAGAAAACAATAGTACATAACAGGAACATAAAGTTTCCAGGAGCCCTCAGACAATGCTTTAATTTGGATTTTGCTAAATTGAATTTAAGGGTCGGTAAACTCAAGTAAAAGTTTAAGTTGTTTTGACAGCGTTCAGAAAACTGAAGTGCAAGTTAAAGCAGCCTTCTTATCTAATAATAGCTGGTTACTGTATAAAGCAAAACAGTCCTCAAAAGGAGGGTTGTAAAAAACACAAAATCACAATTTTACTACTGGTAGTTTTATACATTTAGAGAAAGGAAATACCCTCTATCATTTTAAATATGCAGAATGGTATTACTATTTTAAATGTTTCTTAAATTTTATTATTTCATCTTAGAAGTTGTGACAAATAGGCAGACATTCATCTGTGCATTTCTTGTAGTATATGGTTTGCTTTTCCTGCCTCAGTGAGGAAAGGTCACACCAAATACAAGATAGAGCCATAGGACAAATACTGTATGCACTGTGGATTAAGCTGAACAGAGAACTGGTAAGTTTATCCTTGTCATAAAGGCCTGCTATTACAAATAATCAAATTCTTAGTTCGGTATTTGCTTTCGGAACCAAGAGAAAGCAACTGGGCCACTAGTTATTGATCTCTTCCTTTGCCTAGGTCTTTGGTGGCAAATTGATGGCACATGTTACTTTTAAGACAAAAAATGCCAATATATGAGTTGTTTTTTCTAAATTAAAATCTCAATATTTAAGTTTAACTGCACTGTTAGCACTTTGCGATAAGTGGATTTTGGGCTGCAGTTTGGGCACTCATCTCTAAAAAGTTTACCATCATAGGTCTAAGGTTAGTAGGAAACAGAGCCTCGGGGAAGACGGACACAAGCACAGAAGCAAACGCTGTAACATGAGTGGGCCGTGAGTGAGAATGGTGCAGCTCCAGCACAGGCCTCCTCGTGCATGTGACGCTGTCAGATCCAACTGAACTCTGAGACTGCTCACATGGACACTAGAAAGAGTAGGAGCCCATAATCCACCACATCATGGTTCATGAATGTCACATCTTTACTCATAAACATCCCAAGGAGAAAAAGAAGTGGTGCAAGAAATGAGGTGGTGGTAAATGGAAGTCATATTTCTATCCACTATTTTATTCATTGCATATTCAGGTTTTCTTTTACGTTCATTGGTCCCTAGTGGTCCTGTTACCTTTTTTGTTTTTAGTACTATGAAAATGCAATTTGAGTGAATACTGTGTTGGGAGGAATTTTTAAAAATAGGTCACTAAGCCTAGGGGATGGGGATTTAGCTCAGTGGCACAAGCACCTGCCTGACGAGTGTGAGGTCGTGAGTTTGATCTACACTACCTAAATAAATAAAGCCTAAAACAACTCTTCAAGTACATTCCTAAGCTCTTTTGATGTAAATCTTAGTCTTTTCAGTTTTCTTGCTGGTCTGGCATGACGTTCCATGATGTTCAGGATCAATTTATGCAATTAGAATATCCTTGCTCATACTATTAGAACTATACCATAAGTTATTCACTTTCATTATACATTATATAAGGGTCCCCAAACAAAAATTGTAGTTTTACAACCAATCTGACTGATAGAAACAAACTTTCACATATACTCACCCCTCCATTTACCAGTTTATATAATGTACGTTGAAAAACAAAATCCTTATCTTTAGGACTTACATAAATATTCACACTTTCTACTTCAGCTTGGTTCACTTTAGTGCACTGGGTCTTTTAAAGAACTTGTATGCTTCATCTAAATTGTCAGTTGTTTGACAATTTAGAAAAGAAATTCTAGAGGGCCCATTTGATCCAGCAATTTGCGTATCTTCCCAGAATAATGAAAAGCCTCATACCACAGCGATACATGCACGCATACTCACATTTATAGTGGCAACAGGCAAATCCTGAAGCAGTCAAAATGCCATCTTTGTCTGAGGCACAGCTGGCTTTTTCCAACACTGTGAGTTGTCTTTTCACTCTGCTGATGGTTCTTCTTGCTGTGTAAGTTTTTTAATAAGCTGAAATCTCAGTTGTTGATTCTTTGTGATACTTTCTGTACAATCAGGGTTTTGCTCGTAAACTGTTTGCCTACACAAAAGTCTTCAAGAATTCTACCTATTCTATCTCCCAGCAGATTTAATGTTTTTGTTTCAACATTCAAATCTCTGATCTATTTCAACTTTTGGTTCATGGTGAAACATACGGGTCCAATTTTAATCATCAGCAAAAGCAAAGTCAGTTTTTCCAGAACCATTTATTAAAGAGGTTATTTTTTTTTCAAGTGAAGATGTTTGGCTCCCTTGTCAAAGATAAGGTAGGGCTAAGTAAGTATGGAATTGTTTCTGCATCTTCTAATCTGTTCCACTGGTCCTCAGATTTTTTTTTTTTTTTTTTTGCTAGTACCTTACTGTTTTTATCAGAGTAGCTTTGAGGTATAATTCAAGTATGGGGTTGTGGTACTTTCCTTGTTGCCTTTATTGACCAGATTTACCTTTTCTATTCTAGGTCTTTTCTGTTTCCAAGTGAATTTTAGGATTGCTTTCTCTAATTCTGTAGTCCTTGTTATTGCTTTCTAGAATGTCTTTCAGAATACTCTGGAGTGCTGGTTTGGTGTTCATGAATTTTCTCAGGTTTTCTTTTTCATGGAAGTAATCTTATTTCTCCATCAGTTTTGAAAGGCAGTTTTGCGGGATACATCAATCTGAGTTGGGGGTTCTCTTTTAGGGCTTAAAAACTTTACTTCATGCCCTCATTGACTTAAGGGTTTCTGTTGAGAAGTCAGCTGTGATTCTGATGGGCTTTCCTTATGGGTGGATTTGTTTCTTTTCTCTAACAGCTTTTAATTTTCTATTCTTCTGTTGAATTTCTGGAATCTTGACTATGATATGCCTAGCTATGGATTTTTTTGATCATGACTAATTAAGAGTCTATATGTCTCATTTATCTTCATGTCAATTTTTTTCCTGCCAAGGAACTTTTCTGCAATTATATCTGTAACCAGGTTTTAAAAATATCATTTGTACTATTTCCCACTTTTTCACTGACTCCAATCAATCTTACATTATGCTTCTATGCATAATCTAGCAGTGCTGCATTGATTTCTCATGGTCTCTTGCTATTTTTAAGAAATTTGTCTTTTCATGATGGCTAGCTGCAAGCCTGTCTTCTATATCTGAGATTCTGTCTTCACTATTGGCTCATTCTGATGTGGATACTTTCAATAGACGTTTTAGTCTCCTAGATATTTAGCATGAATCTGTTTTTGGTTTTGGGTGGTCTGTTGTTGTTCTTTGTACCTAGAATCAAACTCGGGACTTTGTGCCTTCCAGGAATGGATTCCATTTCATTCTTGTGTTGGACATTCTTGACTTCCATCATTTTCCTAAATGCTTCTATTTTTTAATCTGTATTTGCTCCAGAGTCACTAAGCATGTTTTTCATTGTGGTCACCACCTCAAGAATTATCTGAGATATTATTTCTAATTTGATTTTTTTCCTGAGTCTTATTTATTTGCTTGTTACCATGTCAGAGATAATAGGTGGGTGGCTTTTGGACTGTCCTATCTCATTTGCCTTTGGTGAACTGGATGTCTGTGGTTCCATCTTGTTTAAGTATCTTCTCATTTTCCATTTTTAAGTTTAATTCCTTGGTTGAAGCTTTTAAATTGCCTATGATGAGTAGCTTTATTGCTAGTATTTACAACCTTTAAAAAATGACTACTTCTCAGACATATCTTCCTGGGGTAGCTGGTTCTTGAGTCTGTTGCAACATCCTACAATGTGTTAGGGATGAGAGGTTGCTGCCTGCTTGGCCCAGCTGCTAGTTCTTTGGCACTGGCCCACAGCATTTTCTATGACCTTCAGACAATCTCAGTCTTGGTATACCAGGAAAACAACTGGTTAGAACCATTATGTCACTTAAGCTAAAGTGGTACAATCAGCAATAATAACATCAAACATAGTCTAGAAAATGACAAACTAAGGTTATCATTAATTTGAAACCTTTAACTATAGGACCTTGATTTGTGACTATATAACAAAATACAAAACAAACCCAAAAACTGTATGCAGTAAATAAGCACTTAACGTACCAACTTTATCCTCAGAAGCATACATTTAAAAAGCGTTAAGGTAAAAAAATAGAAAAATAGAAAAAGAGATTAGAAGCAAGGCTGGAGGACAACAAAGGATCAAACTTTGGGGTACTGGTACAGAAGATAGGAAGGAAAGAGAGAAGGAAGAAATAAAAGAACAGAACAATCACAAAGAAACTAGTAACCACGTTCACTCCCATATAAAAACACGATCAAATATGGAGGAGGAAAAAAAAAAAAAGAAAATGTCCACTTCCAGGTTTGTCTCTGCTGTCACCGGTAGACAATGTATGGAGATGGAGTCCAGACCCATACCGATTAATCCCAGCAGTCCAGCAGTAGCTTTATGGTGGGGTAGTGCATAATCTCAATGAGCCTGCACCTTTTTCCCCCTAAAGTTCAGGCTGGTTTCTGCCATCAGGCTGGGACCAGACCCGTTCAACCTGCAGTCATCAGTGCACCTTCTGCAGGTTTGAACTAAGCAGGGAGCTGCTAGATGGAGTCAGCAGTTGTTCTGAGTTGTGAGAGTTGACCCCTCTCCAAGATGGCTCCTGGATAACTGTCCCCCCCACCCCACCCCAGGGGACATCCAATCTTGCAGCACTCACCACCAGCTAGTGCAGTCCTCCATATCCACAGTCCCCTTCCACTGTGGCATCTCTCTGTGGAGGCCTGTAGTGTTGCCAGCAGTTACCACCTGCTTGTAGGTTTGAACCGCTCCTCCCACACAGTGAGTCCTGACTCAGGGAGAAGGCTCTGCTAGCTACCTCCTTCTACTTTGCTGAAGTTTCTCTCTGGGCTTCAATTCATGCTTCAGATCCTCTTTGGGTCCAGGGGACCTACTTTCCTTCTTCTTCTATTCCTCAAATTGCTATATCTCATTTTTTTCAACTGGAAATATTTTCTAATTTCTTTTGTAATTTCTTCTCTAATAAGTTACTTAGAAGAGTGATTAGTTTCCAGGTATCTGTAGGGCTTTGAGTAACTTACTGCATTGATTTGTAATTTAATTCCATCTTAACAAGAGAATGTAACTGTAAAATTTCAGTATCTTGAAATTTGTTGAAATTTATTTTATAGTCAACTATAGTTATTTTGGTAAATGTTCCATATGTGATTGGATATATATTCTTCAGGTAGTTACAATATCCTATAGAAGTTAAATAGACAAAGATAGTACAGAGTGTTGTAAAGATAATTCTGTTTATTCACTTTTAAAATCATTTTAATAAATTTCTAAAAATATTAAAATCTTCAACTTTATTTTTAGCATTTTTAATTCTGCCTAATTTTAGAGCATTGATACCGGGTGAACAAACATTTATGACTGTTTTGTTTTCCTAAAGAATTAATCTTTTATCTTTATGATCTCTGACAAGACATTCCAAGTCTGCTTGATCCGACGTTCTTTTAGTTACTTTATGCTGCTAAGTGGCATATCTTCTTAACCTTTTAACTTTGAACCATCTTCCTTCACATTTATTTATGTGCTCCTTGAAGACAGCATAGTCAGTTGCACCTTGTTTTTCATCCAATGTTATGGCTCCTGTCATTTAATTGTAGTACTTAGTCCATTTACATTTATGACATTAGCACTTCAATTAAATTTAAAGTTAAAACTCTAATTTCTATTGATTCTGCCTATATTTTGTTTCTCTGTTCCTCCTTTCCTATCTTCTTTTGAGTTCATGTTTTTATACAATTTCTCTTAGTTTATCTATTAACTTTATAGGTATAATTCTACATTTTAATGGCTGTTCTGGGAATTACAATACATAACCTTAACTTCTCTCTTACTGTACCAATTTGCATAAAATAAAAGAATTTCAAAACCCTGTAGCTCCAAATAGTCCCTCCACCTAGTTATGCTATAGTTTTGAGACATATTAAACATCTTCAAGTTATAAACCCAATTATGTATCAGTTTTGCTTTAATAACTGAAATGAGGAAAGAAAGCAATCTTTCAGATAGGCCGTATCTTTTGTTTTTAAATCTTTCTTAAGATTCAAGTTCCAAGTTACATCATTTCTTTTGGCATGAAGTACCCTATAGTATTTAGTATTTCTTATAGTGCAGATCTGTTTACAATTCTCTAGTTTTATCTGAAAAATGTGTTTTACTTTCATTTTTGCAACTATCACTGCAAATAAAACCAAGAATATGTGTGAGGTATTGTTTTTCCATTGTATCCCCAATGATACTTGATACTGTCAGACATTAACAGTAATCTTCATTCCAATGATATTATTATAAGTGGCGAAAAATCCTTCCTATGCATAATTATTTTTATGAGCCATAGTCTTAACTCTTGTAATAAAGAAAGACACTATAATGCAAAACAAGATGTTTAAATGTTAAAGTATATAGACTTGGAGAGTGTTCAAGGGGCAACAACAAAATTTCTATCATAAGAAAGATAAGCCATAAAAGACATTAAGGTTTGTGAAAAAGAAAACACTTACCTCAAACTCTCCAAGCAGTTTAGAAATAAACAAACCCTCTGGAAACTTAGATACAACCTAATAAAAAATGAAATGTAATATAGATACAACTGGAATGCTATGAGACAAAATCTTTAAATCAAGACAGTATAAAATTGGTAACAAAGGCAAAAATAACATTGAATAAATGATTTATCTACATGATGCATTTTTATTTTATTTATTTATTTTTTTATCGGTACCGGGGATCAAACTCAAGACCGCCTACTTGAAAGGCAGATGTTATGCCCCTGAGCTAAATCCCCAGCCCCCATGATGCATTTTTAAAAAATCATTTTCAGTCTTAAAAAGCTTTGTACAAAAAAGACAATACTGCACACAATTTCCAGAGTTGAGAAATCATTATTACACAATACTGTGATAACTCTCCAGAAAGTGCTATTTAGCTTTAACTCACATAAAATATTCTACAAAATAACTTTATGCTTTTTAATTGATAGAAAATAAATGCAATGGGAACTACTGAAAATTTCAGAAAATAATTCAAACAGCTAATATTACCTGTATTTAATATAAAATAAGGTTAACAGTTCTATAATCATTTTTAAAAACACACTGTAGTCATCTTTCTATGTCAGTAAGTCTGAAATATTTTAAAGGACTACATATTTTTCAAAATATTCAGTATAACCAAATTTACTTGATTGTCTACTTATGGCTACTTATTTTTATCATCACAAATATTGCAATAATTACCCTTACATCTGCATTTATCTACTCAATAATTTTTTAGGATAAATCACTGTAACCTATTCCATTATGATACAGTATAAAAAGCATTTTTCCTAGTTTTTTAAGATACATTTTGTACGAAGTCATAATTAAGGTTTCAGGAAAAATATAAAAACTATTTCAGATGCTTATGATCTAGAGGCAGCCACTGCTGCATTTCAGAAAACATTCTTTCGGAAACCCACATTACTCATGATTTAATATGAAATGACAGTATTTTTTTTTGTACCATAAAAAGTCTGAACACTACTGAGGCCAAAAGCAACTTGTATTAATCTTCTAATATCTCAATAAACTTAGTATTAAAATATTTATATAGGCTTTCCTTTTTCGATATATGTATACATTTTTGTCAGACTGTGTGTGTATACATACATTATTTGTTTTGCTATACGTATGTGTACATATATACATATATAAACAAAATACTGGAATTAGATTTTGAATTCTGTAAACAGTCATTTATTGGTGGGAAGAAGCTAGTAAAGACAAAATATATGGAAGAACCTATGCTTTCTAGGTAATTTTATAATAAAATTTTTGGAGTATATTTTTTATGTATTGCTGTGTTTCTCTAATTTTAAAAGAATAATATATTTGCATGATATTAGAAAAGAACAGCAATAAATATAAAACTAATAAATATCTGGAGACAAACTCAACCACAAGTGACATCTCAATTTATAACCGATTGTTCTTGTTTCCTAAAAACACAAATACTTACACATTTTATCTTATGTTTTAGTTCTGGATCAATAGTCCCTCCAGGTCCAATTTGTGCAATAACTGACTTGAATGAGTTCTCTAACTATGGAAAAAGGAAAAACAAAGTCCCCTTAACTGTAAGATATATCTAAATAATAAAGATATATTTAAATAATATTTAAAGGAGGTATCTATAAAAAAGAAAAATATTTCAACCAAATGGATAAAAATGACACTGTAGCATTTCATGCCAAAAAACACATAGAAGGAACCTTTATAAAACAGGACACTGGAATTTTTCAAGACAGGATTCTCTGTAATAGATTCTAGAATGACCAGTTACTCAATCTCATACTCTTCATAAAAAGACTTTTTGTTATTAATTTTTTGCACTGTACACAGAACAAAGTTAAATATGATCACAGTCTTATAGCCAGGAACTGTGCAGACAAGAGAACAATGGAATAACATTTCTGAAGTGCTTCGAAAATAAAGACACAGGCCATTTCACTCACACAAAAGCTAAGAATATTCAATACCAACAGGATTTTATTACAGGACATGTTAAAATTTTCCAAGAAAACAAAAATTATACTACAGGTAAATGTAGTACAAAAGACCGGAGAACATCAGAAATAGTGTAGTGATTATTTTTATTTAAAATAAAAATATTTGAAGCAAAATTAATACAGGCATATACAATGTGAGAATTAAAAGGTATTGCACAAATAGTACAAAGGAGTAAATTTACTATTTTAAGACGTTTATACTACATATGAAATGGTGTAATGGTGTAATAAGAGTCAATTTTGGTATATTAAAAATTTATGTCTGGGCCAGGGATTTAGATCAACAGCATAAGTGCCTGCCTGGCAAGCACAAGGTTTTGAGTTCAATCCCTGGTTCAAAAAAAAAAAAAAAAAAATTATGTCTGCCGGGTGTGGTGGCACACACCTATAATTCCAGCACTTGGGAAGCTGAGGCAGGAGAATCACAAGTTCGAGGTCACCAACCTGGAATACAGAGAGACTCTGTCTCAAAAAACCCAAAAAAACAAAGCAAAAAGACAAAACAATTAAATGTAAGCTGCGAATTTAAGGCAGTCACTAAAAATATAAAGAGACAATGACAGAACAAAGATAAATAGAATGATAATAATCAGAAGCCCCCACTCATCACTATTCTTCAATATCTCTACTTCATTACTGAACAAAATTCTAGTTAATACAATTTAAAAAGGAATAAAAGTACACAGATTGAGGAGGAAAAAATAAAATCACCTTTCTTCACAAATAACATGATCCTCTATCTACATAGGTAATTTGAAAGAATAACAATTCGTTCAGGAGCTAATAAGAAATTACACAAGGACACAAGGTTAATGAATGAAAAACTCAAAATGCAGCAACTCACAAAAAGTATGCAAAATCCTAAATGTTCCTACAGATAAGATATTAGTTCTGGATCAATAGTCCCTCGAGGTCTAATTTGTGCAATATCTGACTTGAATGAATTCTCTAACTATGGAAAAAGGAAAAACAAAGTCAAATCACAATTAATAGAACTGCCAGGGATTTAGTTCAGCAGCATAAGTGCCTGCCTGGCAAGTGTGAGGTTGTGAGTTCAATTCCTGGTACAAGAAAAAAAAAAAAAAAACTAACAGAACTAAAAGGTAAAAACAGACAAGTTCACAATTATGTTTGAAGATTTTAATATTGACCCTCAGTAATTCATCGGAAAAGAAAGAAAAAATTAGCAAAAATCCTGAGTAACATTATGACTGAATTGTGTGGTATGAAATGCTCTACCAAAATACAGCAGACTATATATATTCTTTTGACATGGATTATAAATCACCTATCCAGATAAACACTCTGAGCCATATAATAAATCTTACTAACTTTGTAAGAAATGAAACCTGTTTTCTGACCAAATTTGGAGTTAAATTAGAAGTAAATCATGGAAAGATCTCTAAAAACCCCCAAGTATCTTGAAGTTAAACAACGTTAAATAATCCACGAGACAAAGAATTCACATGGGAAATTAGAGAATATTTTTAACTGAATGAAAATATGTATCAAAATTTATGAGATAAAGTAATACTTCAAAGAAAACCATAGCCTATTAGAAAAGACAGACCAAAATAAATGATCAAACTTCTTAAAAAGAAATTAAACAGAAAGGAGGAGGAGCTAAAGATGGTAGATTGGTAAGCAGCAGAATACAGAGGCTCCCTGAGACAGGTAACTCAAATGCCGTAATAAAACATCATGGAGAGGTTGGGAGAGAGGGAGATGGATCCTCTTGATCCAGGAAGGAACTAAAGGGAAAGAGGTGGTCAAACATGCAATCCTGGGGCTACCATCGGAGCAGCTAAGATTAGTGTCATGGTGCTCTCGCCAGAGCCGCCTGAACTCCCACTGCTGTGACTTACTGGAGCTGAGGTCACACTGAAGTCAGAGGTTGGTGAGCCCAATGGAGAACAGAGCTGGCAAGGGACCTGCATTGACTCACTGGGAGTGCTGGGAATAAGACTCTCCCAGGGGAAAGGGGTGACCAACTGGACCACATGTTGGAATTGGGCAGGATAGGCAGGAACAAGGAATAGCAGTGACTTCAGTGGGTTGTTCCCTTCCCAGACCAGATTGGTGGAATCTGCTTGGCTTGGGTCACACCCTGGTCAGGACCCAGTAAGTCACCCCAAACCAATTCCGTAAGCACAGCACACACTAACACAGTGAAGGCCCCCATAGGTTGACTGACCCAGAGGGGAGGGGCCAGCATACACTGCCCTGGCTTGCACCTCAATAACCAACAGCAAACTAGAGAGGGCAGAAATCCCTAGCCGGTGTGCTTCAGAAGAACCATAACCAACAAAGAAAGGGGCAACTCCATCAGTGGGAGTTCAGGCAGCTCTGGCGAGTCACGGCAGCATGAGTTCTGGCACTCCAGCAAGAGCACCATGATAGCTAATCTTAGCTGCTCCAATGGTAGCCCCGGGACTGCGTATTTGACCAGCTCTTTCCCTTTAATTTCTTCCTAGATCGACTTCCTCTATACACCTGTATGGAAGAAACCAAAAACATGACAAGAGAAAGAAATAAGTCCCCAGCCCCCAATCCTGAGAACATTGATCCAGGAGAGGTAAATACAAAAGAGATCGAGGGCAGCAAACACACAGTATCAGACACGGAATCAGTGGACATAAACAGATACCTTTGGGACCTCATAGATGAGCTCAAAAGTGAAACATTTAATCACATAAAGCAAGATATAAGTAGATTAATAAAAGAAATGCTAAGTACCTCTCAGGAGGTACAGACAGAAGAATGGAGGAACACTAAAAAGGAGAGAAATGTTTGATGAAGAATATAAAGAAAACCTAGAATACAAGAGGCAGATTCGGACTTCCGGGAAAACATGGCGGACAGGTAACAGCAACTACCGGAGGCTCTCTGAAAGGCTCAGCTCAGAAGTCAGGAATGATGCGGACTAAGGAGACATGAGCCGGTAGAGATATGCTCTGCTGACTCAGGAACGAACTGGGCTGAGAGAAACCAACTTGGAATGCAGTCCTGGCGCTAAAATAGGAACAGAAAAGACTTGGTGTGGAGGCTGGACCCCATGACATTGGAAACCGCAATTTGGGTTTCCCAACGCTCGGCGGCTGGCTGCCTCCACAGCGGCTCGGCAAGGAGAGACGCACAGAAGCTCTGGGAACGGGAGTCTGCGAACAGAGTCGAAAACAGGACGGACAAGGAGACGTACACTGACTTGTGGGTGAGTGAGAGAAACTGACACTCTACCACAGTTTGACTCCAGCGGAGGACTTTCTGGGCTCGGGCAGTCCTGTAAGAACAGGGCGCGGTGGCGACTCCAGCCACACACTACCCTCCCAGACGGGATTGGTGAAAAGTGCCTGGCCTGCGTGACGCTGCGGGCGGACTTGGTAGGCTGGCCTAACCCAGATCCCAGAGCCTGACGGTGGCCCGGAGGGGCGACTGACTCCCGCGTAGGCTGCCTAGTCCATAACTCCCTGGTGCGCAGCGGTGGGCGGGAACACCTAGCCAGCGAAATTTGATCAGGCTGTGGCTGACAGGCAGGGAAGCTGGGCTTCCTATGTAAGCTTGCATATATATAAGGAACAGAAAATATGGGGAAGGGAAGCAACAAGAAAGGCTCCTCGGCCCCCAATTCTGAGAAACAGGCAATAGCGGACACTGCACCAATAGACATTAAACGCCATATAGAGAGCCTCATAGACCAATTCGGGAATGAAGTTATCAACGACCTGAAGCTAGAAGTATGCAGAATAGTTAGAGAAATGCTAAGCACCACCCAGGAAAAAACAGATGGTGGAATGGAAGAACAGAAAAAGAGGGGAGAATTGTTTGATGGAGAAAACAGAGAAAGCATAGAGTACGTGAAGCGGGTTCAAAGGGACTATTAAGAAATTAAGAAGTCTATCCAAGACTGGCATAACAGCTTGAAAGAAACTAAGGACAGACTATCTGCACTGGAGGGCAGACCTATAATATGGGAGAATGAAATGAAAAACTTCTTAAAAATAACAAAGAAACAAACAGCAACAATACAAAGACAAGAAGATGATAAGAGGAGCCATAACTTAAGGATTAAGAACATAAAAGAAGAAGTAGGGACACAAACAAATGAACTACAAAAGCTACTCACAGAAATAATCCAGGAGAATTTTCCTAATTTAGCAAAAGGTAAAGATACTCAGATGTATGAGGCATACAGGACTCCAGCTACCTACAACCCTAACAGAGAAACACCCAGGCATATAATAAAAATTCCAGAAATTCAATACAAGAACAGAATATTAAAAGCTGTCAGAGACAAGAAACAGACCACTTACAAGGGAACACCCATCAGAATTACAGCAGATTTCTCTGCACAAACCATCAAATCACGAAGAGCGTGGGGGGAAATAATTCAAGCTTTGAAAGATAATAATCTCCAGCCAAGATTGAGATATCCTGCACAACTGTCCCTGGAAATTGATGGAAAAACAAGGTGCTTCCAGGATAAAGAGGAACTGGGGGAATTTGCAACCACCAATTCAACCCTACAGAAAGTATT